ATTCATTGGTTCATCACTTTTTTCCATGTTAAAGCAGCCATGTTGTGGCATCCCCTAGGTTCAGACACACTCATATCACCCTTCGGCGTCATCAAACATGGTCATGGGAAACCCGCCATAGATGGAAGGTTTACTAGGAAAATCATGGAACTATTGCTGCTTGGTTTTTCCAGCAAGTCATGTTTGATAACACCGGATGGTCATTGCATCCCCATTATATATTGGTTCATTTCCCCAAAAATATGCCTATTGGTACCATGACTACTATATGCCATTAAATTATAGAATGGGCTAGCGCCCAGGTGCCGCCGACCCCCCTAATTGGAGGGGGGTACTGTAGAGAGAGAGAGGGAGACGGACAGCAAGACAGACATATGGCCGTTTGCTTCTCAAGCCTGTGGCCTTGTCGTCGCTTTTGCGTGCGGGCGTGGCGCCTGTTGGGGTACCTTTTGCATCGGAGTTGGGCGGACTTTTGGAGGAGTTGGAAGGTTTGGAGGGTTTAACGCCTATAAGAAGCCATTGCTGCGGCCGTGGGGTGCCCTTGAGCCATTGCTGTGGCCTTGTGGTGGCTTTTGCGTGCGGCAGTGGCGCGTGTTGGGCTTGTTGGGGTACCTTTCCCCTGCGGAGCTGGCCGGACTTTTGGGGGGTTTGGAGGGTTTGGAGGGTTTTGGAGGGTTTTGGAGCGTTTGAGGCCTGGCAAACGGCAGCCTTGAACGCGTATAAGAAGCCATTGCGGCCGTGGGGTGCCCTTGAGCCATTGCTGTGGCCTTGTGGTGGCTTTTGCGTGCGGCAGTGGCGCGTGTTGGGCTTGTTGGGGTACCTTTTCCCTGCGGAGCTGGCCGGACTTTTGGAGGTTTGGAGGGTTTTGGAGGGTATGGAGGGTTTGAGGCCTGGCAAACGGCAGCCTTGAACGCCCATTGCTGCGGCCGTGGGGTGCTCTTGAGCCATTGCTGTGGCCTTGTGGTGGCTTTTGCGTGCGAGAGTGGCGCATGTTGGGCAGAGGGTTTGGAGGGTTTGAGGCCTGGCAAACGGCAGCGTTGAACGCCTATAAAAGAGCCATTGCTGCGGTCGTGTGGTGCTCTTGAGCCATTGCTGTGGCCTTGTGGTGGCTTTTGCGTGCGGGAGTGGCGCGTGTTGGGCTTGTTGGGGTACCTTTTCCCTGCGGAGCTGGGCGGACTTTTGGAGGGTTTGGAGGGTTTGAAGGGTTTGGAGCGTTTGAGGCCTGGCAAACGGCAGCCTTGAACGCGTATAAGAAGCCATTGCTGCGGCCGTGGGGTGCCCTTGAGCCATTGCTGTGGCCTTGTGGTGGCTTTTGCGTGCGGGAGTGGCGCGTGTTGGGCTTGTTTCGGTACCTTTTCCTTGCGGAGCTGGCCGGACTTTTGGAGGGTTTGGAGGGCGGACTTTTGGAGGGTTTGGAGGGTTTTGGAGGGTTTTGGAGCGTTTGAGGCCTGGCAAACGGCAGCCTTGAACGCGTATAAGAAGCCATTGCTGCGGCCGTGGGGTGCTCTTGAGCCATTGCTGTGGCCTTGTGGTGGCTTTTGCGTGCGGGAGTGGCGCGTGTTGGGCTTGTTGGGGTACCTTTTCCCTGCGGAGCTGGCCGGACTTTTGGAGGGTTTGGAGGGTTTGAGGCCTGGCAAACGGCAGCCTTGAACGCGTATAAGAAGCCATTGCTGCGTCCGTGGGGTGCTCTTGAGCCATTGCTGTGGCCTTGTGGTGGCTTTTGCGTGCGGCAGTGGCGCGTGTTGGGCTTGTTGGGGTACCTTTTCCCTGCGGAGCTGGCCGGACTTTGGCGGGTTTGGAGGGTTTTGGAGGGTTTGAGGCCTGGCAAACGGCAGCCTTGAACGCGTATAAAAGAAGCCATTGCTGCGGCCGTGGGGTGCTCTTGAGCCATTGCTGTGGCCTTGTGGTGGCTTTTGCGTGCGGGAGTGGCGCGTGTTGGGCTTGTTGGGGTACCTTTTCCCTGCGGAGCTGGCCGGACTTTTGGAGGGTTTGGAGGGTTTGGAGGGTTTTGGAGGGTTTTGGAGCGTTTGAGGCCTGGCAAACGGCAGCCTTGAACGCGTATAAGAAGCCATTGCTGCGGCCGTGGGGTGCTCCTGAGCCATTGCTGTGGCCTTGTGGTGGCTTTTGTGTGCGGGAGTGGCGCGTGTTGGGCTTGTTGGTACCTTAACGAGAGAGGGCTATGTGCGCGGAAAAGTTCCACACCTGCGGTGGTCCCAGGCGCCGCCCCGGCCTTGGCGAAGGCCGGGGTCGGCGGATATCTCCCTATCTCCATGATGTGTCCATTATGTCCCATTATACAACCATTACCCTTTGGTAATCAAACATCCTATAAATGGAAGGTTTTCTCGGAAAATCATGGAACTACTTGGTGGATCATCCCGTGAATCCTAGGTTCGAACGCCAATTATCAGTGGCTTAACCCGACTCCCACTGAAAAAACCAGGGATATAACCTACTTAAGTGGGATGATCCACCATATATATATAGTATTATATATATAGAGTATTATATATATAGTATAATATATTTTTATTTTTAATATATATATATATAAATAAATAAATAAATATTAATGGTGGATTTTCCAGCCAGCCGAGCTGATTCCCGGAGGACTTGCCCGCGGCCTGGGCCAAGATCGCCCAGAACAAGGCGCAGAGATTGCGTCGCTCGCGTCGCGCAGATCGCGGATCCGGCACGGGCGGAGTGAGCGTTGCTGGGCCTTTCAGAGGGATGGTGGGAACATGTTGGAGCTGGAGAAATGTTGAATTATCATGGGGATTACCCTCTGGTAAACTAACATAGCAATGGAAAATCACAATTTTTAATGGGAAAATCCACTATTTCTATGGCCATTTTCAATAGCTATGTTAGTTTACCAGAGGGTATGACTGATATATCTATATATATATATGAATATGGGATAAGATGGGGATAATAGACACTGCTGCTGGGAGAATGGGGACTAATCATCTATAAATGGTATAAGAAGCACGTTTTTCCTGTAAAAGATCATGGGAGAACTAGTTGGAACAGCCAGAAAACATCGAATTGAAGATTTATAGGACGATCTTCCATGACTGCCAGGATTTTTGATGATTGATTATGGCATGGTTAATTCGTATCCCATTTAGATGGCTAACACCCTAGTTTTCACATTTGAGTTCGATATTCAACAAACATAGGGAAGTCAGGGGACTTCATCATGTCATCTCCATTCGGTGAAGATCCTGCCATGAAACCATCCATGGTATCAATCTCCCAGCTTTTCAGGCAACATTTTCCAGGTATTTCCAGGTAGTTCCTTCGGATTTTCCCTCCATTTTCCATCCATTTCCCCCTTGGATGCGCTTGGCTGCCGAAGTTTTCCAGAAAAATTGGGTGATGGGACAATTTTAACCGGAAAGCCCACAACCTATATTTGATGGTCAAAACCCCTACCGGGTTTCCGGTTACTCAGATTTTCCTAACTTTTCACCGATCCAATGATTCCATGGGAGGCTCCAGCCATCGGAGCCACTGGTGGAGCCATCGGCTGGGGGAGAGATGCGGCCTTCTTTAGTGGCCAGGTCTATGTCCAGGAGGCGCTACGGAAACGTGGACGAAACCGTGGACATGGCGGATTTTGGGCAACTTAAAAACAGAGGTGACAAGATGGTGGCTTTAGATATCATATACCTGACATACATCATCATATAATATATAAATCATAACATGTATATATATATATTATATCATATGTATATTATATTATATTATATTATATTATATTATATTATATCATATGTATATATATATATAGATAATCAGTAAAGTAAAGAAAAAGGGGTGATCCTAACGCTAATGCCGAGGTATAGCATTGGTGGGTAATGGCATGTGCTAATGTGGTAAACCGTAAATCCTATCAATATATGGTGATGTTCACCATCCCCAAGAACATTTGATGAACTTGGGTATACCTCGTTCGCAATGGGATGTTGTTTTTTTTATCGCCAGAGTCATGGGTTTCGTGAATCAGATGGTGGCAGGTTTACCACATGACTTCCATTTTTATCCATTTTTTCGACCAATTTCCCTGGATGTTCGGCCTGTGGTCCCGAGAATCACACTGGTCCCAGGGAGGTCCCTCACCGGCTCGTCGGCTCATGACGAGTATCTATTTCTGACAATGTCCCCAGTTATGTCAGTTGGTTTAAGATCCACATTGAATACTTCAATAAATATGTCTACCAGACATCCAATCGTCAACCTACTGAACTAAACCAACTTACCTAGCCAACTGGGCCACCACCTTGTACTTACATGGCATGTTCCTTGCATGCATCAACTAGCATTGACGTCAGTACTGATAGCAAATGGATGACATGTCCCCCTGCAAAATAATTTGCGTTTAATGGGTCATACGTACAAAGTGGTGCCCCATAGTTAGCCAAGTTGGTCTATAACTAGGTCAACTATGGTTTTTGGGTTTCATAGTTATAGTTAGATGGGGTTTAAACCAACTTATAACTAGGGGGCAGCACCTTGTACACGGTACCATCTCCATTATTCATGGCTTAAACCAGTAAACTCCTAGTTTGGATGCTTGATACCCCCATTGTTACTTATTTAGCAACCACTATCCATTGATTATCCGTTGAACTCCCAATGTTTGTTTTTTCCCCAAACAGTGTGGCCACACTTGGGGTTCTTACGGTAGGTGTTAAGGCCTGGTGTTCATTTGAGGTGGTCTCATACGTGCGCGACGTTTTTGATAACCCTGACAGCAAAAATGCTCCTTCATCTTCCGTTTTCGAAGGAAGTCTCGCACGAAATAGTGCCCCTGGAGGTCTCTCTAGGTCATTTTTCGTGGCAGGGCGCAGTATGTGGTGAACTTGGACGACGTTTTGGAAGGTCCGAAAATCGCGTTTTGTGAAACTGTCGTTGAATTTGATTTGGGACATGATGATTATTCTGTGTGGCAGGTGCAGCACTTTGGATGCCTCGGGCTCATTTTTCGTGGCAGGATCACCAAGTTAGCGATTCCGAGAGCCACGCTTGGTCATATATCGTATTGTATTTCCATTGGTACCATGAATACCCTCCGGTAATCACCCATGGTTGGGAAACCCCTGAACTAGATGAAGGTTTAGTTCGCTGTGAATATCATCTATAAATGGGGGATGCTCCATTGCCATATTTGATTACTGTACTGGATGGTATTTCCGTGTGAAATCCTCTGACTTCCCTATGTTTGTTGAAGCAATACCCAGCGAAAATGTAAAAATAGGTACAGTACCATCTAGGATAGCAATCTGGTGACTGATCCCCATTCTATCTTATCGAAAAAAAAACCATTCCACAACCATTCTTGATGCTAAAAATCACAAAAATCCTAACGCTTCAATCTCTATTTTTGATGATTAGACATACTCCCATGATATTCCCATTCTAGTTGGATATAAACATATGATCTTCCCATCAAATATACAACATTTGGTGAAATCTCCCCATAAATGATGTTGGTTATATATATCATCTTATATCTCATAGATGTTGTTCAATGGACATAATCCAACTATTATATCATAATTTATAACTATTCACTATTATATCACAAATGATATAATTCATTTAAATCATGTTCACTGGTTATATGTTCTTCATTGGTCATATCAAACTATTATATCATATCAATTTTCACTAAATCCAACTATGTTCACTGGTCATACCCTCCGGTAATCAAACATGCCGTGCTGGAAAATACACTATTTACTTCGGTGAATTTTCGGATTGAAGCCCCCCATTTCCAGTGGATTTCCACAGGTTGGATGACTGGAGGGTCATCCACCCATTTTTTGGGGCGAAATCTCCGCCGTCCAGGCTTCCTCCCTGCTGCCCGTGGCAGCCCTGAGCGACGCCTTCGGCGAGTCGCCCGAGGGCCTGCGGATGTTGGACATGGCGGCGGCGCCCGGGGGGAAGACCACCGCACCGTGGCTTTTCGGGGGAGTTTTCGGTGGATTTTAGCTGAACACTGGAAATTCTCACTTTAATTCTTTAGGATTTGTTGATGGAGTGAATTGGATTTCCGGTTTTGATGGAATTCAAAGGAAACTGGAATCACACTTTGTTGAAGATTTGTTGAAAGACACACAGGTTTTTTTCTGAGGACATGTGCATCTTTAGGCAATAGGATCAATATGTAATTCCCCTTCAGACTGCAGGATATTTTTCACGGGGTCTGGTTCTACGGAGATCACGGTGAGTAGTCAAACGATCCCAGTAAGTATACTCACAAATAAATACTTCGAAACGGGGGCAACGTGCTGATATCAACCGCCACTACGTCATATGCCGTATCTTTTTTGAAAGGTGTTTTACATGGTATGGTTACATAAACCAGCCAACAGAAAATTAAGCAATGATGAGGACAACTGGATACCCTCCGGTAGGCAAACATGGCAATTGGAAATCCCCGAACTCAACGGAGGTTTATAATGCTGGGAAATCATCAAACTACATGGTGGATTTTCCAGCAAACCATATATTTCATTGCTTGAAGGTATAGCGATCCCCAAGAAGATAGAAAAGTACATTGTCACTATCTTAGTACAAGGTGGTGCCCCCCCAGATATAATTGGGTTTATACCCCCCGGAGTAATGACAGATAAAGTATATGAGATATGTATCATATACCCTGGTGAAATTCGAGTTAGAAACCAACTGAGCAAACCAACTGGGGCATTTTACTTTGTGGTAGATATATCTATGGTTACTGGGGTTTATAAACAAACATCACTGGGCACCATCTTGTAGGATTTTACCTTTATGTGGTTAGACTAACTTTTCCATATATAAACTTGATAGACCATAATTAATCATAGTTAACCACAGTCAACCACAGTTAAACATGCTTAGACACATATTAACTGTAGGTATATATATATTAATCACATGTTAAACTATACTTAATATGAACTATGGCATCATGTTAAAAACAGCATTTTGTCCTTGCTTACCACCACACACGTAGCATTTTTCTAGGCACTATGTGCCTGGTTGGGCAATTCCTCTGCAGTTGTGGCCAATGAGCCCAACGTGGCACGCTGCAAGGTGGGAATGGCCGAACTTCCATTGAACGAAATGAACCATGAACGTTAATGGATGTTAAGGGTTAATGGATGTTAATGGTGAAACATGAACAGAACCAATGGCGGATAGTGTAATGGATAGTGTTTTTTGCTACTTCTGTTGCGTATTGTTTGGGTCTTTGATGGGATCTCAGCAAGATCGTGCCGATGACGATGACAGTGGACCCACTGTCAACCGGGATTGCCTTCCACAACAACAATTAGTGGTTGAAGATATGAAATACAGCAACAAAAAGGCATTAAATCAGCCATTGCTGAGCATTCCCAAAGTCTATGATAGATTCACAACTAATGGCTAATTGATAGATTAGTAACTTATTAGTTATTGATTCCCATAGTATTTACTGTAGCATTTAATTAATGTTACAGTTATTGATAGATTCGTAGCTCATCAACGTTTGGCTGGGAGGTTCACCAACCTGCTGGCTGCTTGGTTGAGGCGTTGGTGGAGAATCTGCTGCGTACCGGCTCCATGCCCAAGGCGTCTTGGAAGCATAGGAAAACTCATTGTTTTCCCCACAAATTGTGGTCTCCTCCTTTTATTTTGGACAAACCTATTATACATATGTACATATATATATATATACATAATACACAGTATGTATGTATAAATATATAGTCATATATTTGTACATACATCTACACAATATCTATCCATGACCTGTCATTCTGGAGAGACATCGGGGTGCCAGGCGGCGGTCACCCAAATGGACGGCCGTCAATGTGGCAAGTGCTGGCCCGGCTGCTTCGACGCGGCGCGGTCATCCCGGCGGTGGCTGTCATGTTTAGTCATGACTTTAACATGATTACCCTCTGGTGAACTAACAGTTCGCAATGGAAAATGGCTATAGAAATAGTGGATTTTCCCAGCTATAGAATGGTGGATCTTTCCATTGCAAATGGCTATTTATAGTGGATTTTCCCAGCTATAGAATGGTGATTTTCCATTGCTTTTTGTATGTCCACCAGAGGGTAAATTTAACATGGTTAGTAGTTTAATGATTTAATGACTAAATTTTAACATGATTAAACTTGAATACTTAAATTGTACATTGTTAGTTCTGGTGACAATATTGAATGTACTATTGTACTACTTTTGTACTATGTTTTGTACTATGTTTTGGATTTAAGATGCGATTTTATCGGTCAGTTTTAATATGGAAAGCTACGGTTTTGGGTACCCTAGTTTCGAGAATTCAATGACTTCACTTTAGGAGTACTCTCCAATTTTTCATCAACTACTAGAGTTGATTTCTCCGGAGACACTACATGGATACACCGGGTTGAGAGGTTGATTTCTAGCCCTTGGAGACCGATGAAATGCCTTGAACATGATGTCATCGAAAGTTCAGATCTGGGTATGGCAGGTATGGTATCCTGGTACCCAATGGAATAGACTTCTTGGGATCTTCGGATGTTCGGCCCAGTTGAAAAACTGGGATCATTTGCACCGAAGTTCATCGCTTGGGCAGGTCCTACTAGATGCGCCCTGCAGTGGTGAATCCTTGACGCGAAAAGAAGGATTGGAAATGTTGGATCATCCACCTGGCTATGTGGAAGGACTGCGGGGTCCCCAGCCGCGACAGAATCCCGAAGGGGATCCATTCGGTATGGGAGTGGTTGAACAAAAATCGTCTTAAGCTGCAAAAACTAGCAGCTGGGGTTGGTTTTAAATACCATTACTTGGCTCAGAATTTTGTGTTTCATACTGTACATGGTATCTTCTTTTGATGATCATTCAAGTGGCCATAGCTTCAAGTCGAGGAAAAGCAAAATGGGGTTCCATGACCATCCCCAAATTGATCATTCTGGCAGCATTTTTGGAAGATGAACGGCAAAATACCATAAGATACCTAGCAACTATAGTGAAAAAACACCATAAACGCTAGTTAAGCTAGTTATAAACCAATTTCGAGACTCCGGGGCACCAGACCATGCCGTCAAGGTCCAAGTTGCAGTGTCAGCTGATTCGCAGTGCCTTTGAAGCGCTGAAAGTGGGTGGCGTGTTGGTTTACAGCACGTGCACCTTGAACGTCCAAGAGAATGAACACGTGTTCGGCAGCCCAACCGAGGGGGGGGGGCGTTGAGGATTTTGGGCTTCGGACCAGAGCAAAAAGTTGTGTCTGGACCTGAAAAAAAACATGCTGACCGCAATTGACCACGGAGGAAACATGCCACGTCATGTGCCGGGCCGAATGTATCCAAATGGTATTTTTTCAAACTTGCTTCACGTTGGCGGTTGCACCCAGCCGGAGCCGGCTTCGGCCGGCTTCAGCCAGGTGCTCCTTCTTGGAAGAAACCTTTCCGGGAGCCGTGGAGCGAGAGGGGATTCACCTACCAGGCGGTGTGGTTGCGATGGCATGATTTTTGGTGATAAAAAAACAGCCCAAACCCAAAAAACCGCGGATCAGAATGAGAAGCTTTGATGGTGTTAACCGACCCAAAAAGTGAACCCGACCACCAAAGAAAGTGGCTTTTGGTGGGGTTGAAACTCAGCCGGTGCCCGACCTTCATGGGACGGTGAGGAACCGAAAAGATGAGAACGCCTGAAGGCTGCCTTCGCTGTTGGCCACAGATGGCAGACACCCAGGCGCCAGAGCCTTCGCTGTTGGTTTACCCTCTGGTAAACTAACATAACTATGGAAACTCACCATTTTTCATGGGAAAATCCACTATAAATGGCAATTTTCAATAACTATGTTAAATTACCGGAGGGTACATCAATAGGACCCCAATTGTTTTTTTTTTTCCATTTTTATGGCTATAGAATGTATAGACCACCGATCCATATGGCAGTGTGTCAAAACCTTGTACCCCTGGTGAACATCAAAATAGCTTGTAAATGGATGTTCATCCCACTAAAAAGGGTATTAATAGGTATTGACCCATACCCATATGGGTGACGACTCACATGATGGATTTTGCTCCAGGGCTTCTTTGTGGCCCGTTTCCGGAAGACGGCGGAAGTTGACGGCGCCGAGGCGGAGCATCTCCAATTTCACTCAACATGTCGAATTATGAATGGGTTTATTTTTTTGTAGACCCATTCATGGTTTATTATAACCCATTAATGGTTTATAACAAACATTTATAAGCCATTGAATTATGAATGGAACTTATAGACATGGGTCGCCAACATCACTTGGGCACCAGACATTTCACCAATCATGAGATCTCAGGTCATCTCAGGGGGATGAATTACACCTGTCCTGGCGAATCATCCCACATTTTGGGAGCCTAAAATCAACGGGTCCCGTTTGGGGATGCCATGTTACCGAAGGGTCCCGTTTGATCATCCCACGGCTAGTGGCTAACCAGACTTATAATATCTTATCCATTTATAGATGGGATAACCCACTGAAGGGGGGGACTTTCAAACCTATCTTTGTTGGTCAACTCCAAAAAAATCCATAAAAATGCCGCCATTCCTCCGTTCAGGCCATGCCCAAAGGTGATGGCAAGGTCCTCGAACGCTTGGGTGACAGAGAGGTGCCGATGTCCGAAAAAAAAAGGGGGGTTTTCACGTTCCACAATGGAGATGTAGCATGATTTAAGCATCAAACATCGTGCTTTAGCCATCAAAAATTGTGCTTGAACCATCAAAAAAATAGTGATTGGACCGATTGAACCATCCAAAATAGTGATTTAGCTATCGAAAATAGTGATTGAACCATCCAAACACAGGATTTAACTGGTGATTTAACTTACACATAGGGAGACTAACCATGAATGCTGGGGCGAAAAAACACCCGAAATATTAGATGCATGTTCATGGGTTTTGTCCGGACGTGGGAGATTATTCTAGTTATATCATATATCCAAATCTAGTTCTTTGGCCAGTAATGGGGAAAGTGAGGTCTTGTACCATGAAACGGACCAAAGCCAGTGGGGTAACTATTTTCAGGTACCAACGCCTGATGATGATACAGATTTGACCCAAATGAGGAGAAGGATGATATAACTACGGTTTTTGAAGCATGGACAGATGGTGTCCTTTCCCTAGAAATCAAGTCTTCACTCCAAAATGGCAACATACACAGGAAGGGTTTGGAGTGGACTGGTGAAGATAAAGCACCGCAGATTTCACAGGCTTCACGACCTTCAAAGGTCCAAAAAATGGATTCCCATAGCGGTCATAGCGGTCATTGTGATCAAAGGTGCAAAGTTTCTTGGTGGTGCTCGGCTTCCAAAGGTAGTGGGTGGCAATGATCTGATATTTGACCACTTTTTTTGGTCTAAAATGAAGCGTGGTGGATGTTTTGCTGTTCTGCGACACTGCCTGGTTTTTCAGCAACTGATACTTGTTGACTACTTACCCATTTCCAATGGGTAAGTAATCCAACCATCTCCGAGCAACTGCTGGATGTAGGTCAATGATTCCCACGACATTGAAAATGGGTGCTATTGGGAGCAACACTGTATGCCAAGATGCCCAATCCTGGCTGAATGATGGCTAAAAAACATGCTCAAGACATGTTCCTTGATAGCTATACTGGCTATACTGTATACCGCCCAGAGCCCCATTTCACCGGGACCCAACTGACTCAGCTGGTCAGTGGGACATGGGTGAGGCGCAGGTGGTAGAGCGAACATTTCGCGCAGCGTTGCTGGGACGGCAGTATGAGCGACTGACCTCGCGTGTGCTGTCGGAGATCGGCTTGAAATAACATTCCAGAAATGGAGGTTTCCTAAAATGGGGGTACCCCAAATGGATGATTTACAATGGAAATTACTACTAAAATGGATGATGAAATGGGGTACCTCCATTTATGGAAACCTCCAAATCAATTTCCGGCATTTTTCATCAATGGATTGGTTCAAAAGATCATCTGCTGGGAAAGCATGCTTTCCCCCATGAAAGATGAAGGTTTCCTTCCCGTGCGTTAGACCCCCCAGATACCTGGTTGCCCTTCGGTGAAGATCAGGCATTGTAAGCTGGTGAATTGTCCATATCAATGCAATATAGCATTATTAAGATATATGAAGATCAAACATATGGATCCAGCCAAGAACAACTGGATGAGATTCTCAAAATATATTTCCATTTTTCATGGTGACATCCCAATGTTTGTTTTTTCCCCAAACAGTGTGGCCACACTTGAGGTTCTTACGGTAGGTGTTAAGGCCTGGTGTTCATTTGAGGTGGTCTCATACGTGCGCGACGTTTTTGATAACCCTGACAGCAAAAATGCTCCTTCATCTTCCGTTTTCGAAGGAAGTCTCGCACGAAATAGTGCCCCTGGAGGTCTCTCTAGGTCATTTTTCGTGGCAGGGCGCAGTATGTGGTGAACTTGGACGACGTTTTGGAAGGTCCGAAAATCGCGTTTTGTGAAACTGTCGTTGAATTTGATTTGGGACATGATGATTATTCTGTGTGGCAGGTGCAGCACTTTGGATGCCTCGGGCTCATTTTTTCGTGGCAGGCGCAGTACTTTGTAGACCTCGACCAAAAGTGGCTTTTTGAGATTTTCAAGGTTCACTTTGCAGGGCGGAAGCAATGCTTTGTGAAAATCTAACATGTGCTCACGCAATCCTCTCGGCAGCTTATGCGTGTCAGATCGCTCTCGCTGTGGCGCGGTGCTCATTTTGGTAGTCAAGGAGATCTTGCGCAGAGATCTTGACAAGGAGGTCTTTTGTAGAGAGCTTGCGCAGAGATCTTGCCACGAGGCCTCCTATGGAGATCTCGTACAGAGAGAGGTTATAGAGATCTTGTACAGAGATCTTGCCAAGAGGTATCTTGCCAACAGAGCTTTTTGGAGAGCTTGTACAGAGATCTCTTCAAGAGGTCTTGCCAAGAGATCTTTTGTAGAGCTTGTACAGAGATCTTGCCAGTAGACCTCTTATAGAGATCTTGTACAGAGACATCGCGTAGAGATCTGTTGAGGTCTTGCCAAGAGAGTTCTTACAGAGAGCTTGTGCAGACATCTTTGAAACAGAGCTTGCCAAGAGAGCTCTTATAGGGAGCTTGTACAGAGAACTTGCCAGAGAGCTCTTATAGAGATCTTGTAGAGACACATTGCATAGAGATCTGTTGAGATCTTGCCAAGAAGCCCCTTACAGAGATCTTGCCAAGAGAGCTCGTATAGACAGCTTCTGCAGAGATCTCATAAAGAGTTCTTGCCAAGAGACCTCTCATGGAGATCTTGTACAGGGATGCCCAGAGATCTGTTGCAGAGATCTTGCCAAGAGGTCTCTTACAGAGATCTTGCCAACAGAGCTCTTGTAGAGATCTTGCACAGAGATCTTGCCCAGAGACCTCTTATAGAGATCTTGTACAGAGACATCGCGTAGAGATCTGTTGAGGTCTTGCCAAGAGAGTTCTTACAGAGAGCTTGTGCAGACATCTTTGAAACAGAGCTTGCCAAGAGAGCTCTTATAGGGAGCTTGTACAGAGAACTTGCCAGAGAGCTCTTATAGAGATCTTGTAGAGACACATTGCATAGAGATCTGTTGAGATCTTGCCAAGAAGCCCCTTACAGAGATCTTGCCAAGAGAGCTCGTATAGACAGCTTCTGCAGAGATCTCATAAAGAGTTCTTGCCAAGAGACCTCTCATGGAGATCTTGTACAGGGATGCCCAGAGATCTGTTGCAGAGATCTTGCCAAGAGGTCTCTTACAGAGATCTTGCCAACAGAGCTCTTGTAGAGATCTTGCACAGAGACATCGCGTAGAGATCTGTTGAGGTCTTGCCAAGAGGCCCCTTACAGAGATCTTGCCAAGAGAGCTCGTATAGACAGCTTCTGCAGAGATCTCATAAAGAGTTCTTGCCAAGAGACCTCTCATGGAGATCTTGTACAGGGATGCCCAGAGATCTGTTGCAGAGATCTTGCCAAGAGGTCTCTTACAGAGATCTTGCCAACAGAGCTCTTGTAGAGATCTTGCACAGAGATCTTGCCCAGAGACCTCTTATAGAGATCTTGTAGAGACACATTGCATAGAGATCTGTTGAGATCTTGCCAAGAGGCCCCTTACAGAGATCTTGCCAAGAGAGCTCGTATAGACAGCTTCTGCAGAGATCTCATAAAGAGTTCTTGCCAAGAGACCTCTCATGGAGATCTTGTACAGGGATGCCTAGAGATCTGTTGCAGAGATCTTGCCAAGAGGTCTCTTACAGAGATCTTGCCAACAGAGCTCTTGTAGAGATCTTGCACAGAGATCTTGCCAGGAGACCTCTTACAGAGATCTTGTACAGAGATCTGGTGAAGACAACAGAGATCTTACTCAGAGATCTTATGAAGAGAGCTTGAACAGAGATCTTACTTTGAGATATCTTACAGAGATCTTTTGTGGAGATCTGTTATAGACACCTTGTACAGATAGAATTGCAAAGGGATCTTGCACAGGAACTTCTACAGAGAACCTGTCAAGGACGAGATCTTGCGCACGACCTTCTACAGAGATCTGAGCAAAGGGAAATTGCAGAATCTAACCTGGTATCTCTTCTTCCAGAGACCACATTGAATGAACACCATGTTTTATAATCCTTGCCACCTTTCCCTGTAGAATCCTAGCTACACACTGTTTGGGGTCTGTTGCCGGGATAACTCATTGCTTCGATCCACACTTTCCAAGAATGCGGCGCCAAGGTTTGATGCTTTTCCTTCTGAGAACTTTGAACTCAGAAGAAGTGGTGGAGAGTTGTGGCTGTGCCCAGAGGCGGATCCCATGACTCGTAAGCTCTCCCGATTCGTGGGGTTCATGGTTATCCCATTTGATGGTTTCTTAAGTCGCGGGGATCCCCCATTCACCATGGTTGTTTCAAAACTAAAATGGTCATCCATGACTTGGATGATTTGGGGTCCCCCCATTTTAGGAAACCTCCATTAGTTGGTTATTACACCTCTTGCCTTTTGCTAACCAGTTTGTAAAATTTAGTAAGTGGGGTGACCCACCACGTATTTTCCAACCGTTTCGAGATTCTTGCAACTTGCAAAAGATTGGATCGGACAAATCGGATGGTTTGATACCGTCAAGACCTGGGTGGCTTTCTGAAGATCGGTCATTGAGTCATTGACCGATGAAAGCTGCAGAATTTCGATTGACAGCATTCTTTCCTTAGTAACAACATAAGAGGGAACGGTTCAATTTACCATCTGGTTATTTAACATAGCCATGGAAAATCACCATTTTTGATGGGAAAATCCACTATAACTGGCCATTTTCAATAGCTATGTTAAATAACCATAGGGTACATCAATTTACCCCTTTTCAGAATCGGATTTGACATGACTTGACCACTTTCGATCTTTTTCGCTGCTCGCAGGTCTTACGTGACTTGGGTTTTTTCGGACCTCGAAGATGTGGGATCCGCCTGGCTCTCACACGGAGGTGGGATCCGCACTTTCAACCATCTCAAAAACAATGACATCTCGGCCTTAAAAACGCATGTTTAAAAACAAAGATGACAACCACATGTTTGGTTTGTTCTTGGGCTTGTCACATGACAGACCATGATTGCTACTGAGATTTCTTAGCCGGTCAACACGTAAACGTAGACGTTGTGCGCAGGCAAGGTCTGAACTACCCTGCGCATATGGAGTGGGCTGCTGCCTTACTGTCGTGATCAGAGCAGGAACTGGAACATGTTCCAGGTCTTTGAATTCAAAACATCACATTCCTTGACTTCAAGAAACAACCTGATTCTTTGAAATTCTGATTTGAGTAAACTCAGATACTTTTTCACCTGCAAACAGTTTTAAATAGCCTTACCCAACCAATTTTCTGGTCTAGTTGATTGGTTGGTGGTTTCCAGAAGAAATTTCGTAGTTGTCAACCTTTATCTCGACTTTTTTCACTTCAAAATCATCAGAACAGTACCTTTTGGGTTCCCAAAAATGGCCGTTTCCACGGCTCCATTTGGGTCCCGGGTCGGCCCAGGTGCTGTCCTATGGCCATCGGCTGCCCGTCGGAAGCTTCGGGCTGGCGGAGGTGGACCGTTCGGCGGCGCTGGCGTTCTGCGCTGGAGAGGCTGGTTCCCTGTTTCGCTTCGCGGGACAAACCTATGATGTTGGGGATATCTAAGATATGAATAGATCGATAGATATGATGGTTATATGACGGTTATATATAATTTATATAATGACAGTGATTGATGTATGTTGAAGATGGGATTTTTCCAAGCACCAAGCTGGTTTCTCTGAGAATCAGGGGATCAGGGCCATCAAAATAGCAGTGTGAATCATGGGTTTTAAGTTTTAAGCTAATGGACAATGGTTTATCATAATAATATCTATCTAATAGATAATCATAGATCATAGATGATAGATCATAATAAGTTTTATTGATGATAGATCATAATAGATAAACCATTTTAATGCTATCAGTTTTAGTTTACCGTTAGGTGGATTAAGCTAATGTCCATTTTAGGTTGATTTATAATAAAGAAAATGATGGACATCGATAATTCTGATGGCTGACGAGTTACAGTAAGTCGTTTTTTTCTTGGTGTCACACATCATGGGTACTAGGGGAATGGATTGGGGAAATGGATAGTTAGTAATGGTTAAGGGTTAATGTTGTGAAGCAATTGTTTTTTGGTCTAACAGATAATGTACATGATAGTGTAGAACTTCAAAGAGTTGACTCTTGTTTCCATAGTTTTTTTCATTGATCCTGATCATCTGATCCTTTCTGTCAAAGCTTTCATGTCTGAGTCTAGGGATCGCTGAGAAAAAGCGAAATGGCGTAAGCATTTGGCTCATCCCTTCGCATGGGTCAGCAACTGCATTTTTAGCATTTCTGAACACTGCAAGGAACATCAGCCAACCAGCTGCGACTCGGGACTTTCATAAACCACAACGGTTCAACAAACGCCACACTGCACGGACCTGAAGCTCTCCGGGTTTCACCGTCGATCTGCTCAGCTCATGTGGCGCATACTCATACCTTGCCTGTTGCAGCTTGGCTGCGAAGCTGTGCCCCAGTTCGGAATCGCTAAGTTGGTAAACATATCTGGAATATATAACTCGGGTCTATGATACATATACCGAACTGGTTAACGTATGTTATCAACTATATCAACTATAGTTTTAAAGAACCAACCAAGTCTAAGTTGGGTTTATTGGGGATATAACAATACAACTATAGTTATCTACACTAACTATAGTTAATAGTTATCTATACTTACTGAGGGTTATAAACATAGCCCCACCACACGTAGTCGCATTCTCCACATCGTCACCGTGACCTTTTGAGGTTTGGCGCGCTGGGTCTGGCGGACTTGACACTGGGTCAGCAACTCTTATAGAATGAACAAACATCAGGGATTTTGTTTGATTGATCTATTTGTTCATACGTTTATTTGAATATACTTGATTATTTTGCTGATCACATATCAATTTCTTAGCTAGCCATTCATATTTGTTTATTTGTTTATTTCAATTATCTTCAGAAATCGCATATCACATAGATAGATCTGATACTTTTTCACATCCCACTTCCACTGGGGCCTCACATTTCATTTATGTGTCCTTCAGGTGAATTGAGCCAGATGCAGTGCCATCAACCTACCATGACTGGGGATGGTAGTCACCATCTATAGTGATATTGGGGATGGTTTTTTATCGGATTTACCACACAGCTGCTGGATTTTTTTGTTAAGATCACCTGCAAAGAAGTGGGTCAGTGAAACTTTTTTTGATTTCTTCGCCAGCATTTCCAAGCCAGGAAAAGCGAGTTCTCGGAATCCAGAGAAGCGCGGAGATTAAAGGAGATCTTTTGGCAAGAGATCCAAGCAATATATATATATAGATATAATTATACATTATAGAAGGAGTATTTCTGGGCTTTTGTAATTACACAGGGGAATGAATGATTTTCCTAGCTTCCTTGGTGTTGAAACCTGAAGAATGGGGCATTGCACAGGTGGTGAACAGCCGCTCCAGAAGATGTCAGTCGCCAGGAAAACAAAAAGAAGAAGAAGGAAAAGGAACATGACGCCGTGATTCTTGGCAGGATGATAATCGGCTCAGTTGGTCATGACTGTTGGTCATTCCAAACATCTTCAGGTCCGTGATTTCTGTGGTTCCAGGGATGGTATGACTGGTATGACAGTTGACCACAGAATTTTTTCGGATGGTCTAGATGGGATGTTGCGGCGAATTGATCCACTGTTTTTCGAAAGGTGGGATGGAACCTGATGGAACCTGGAATCTGGGTGATTTTGGCCATGGCTTGTCTGAAACTAAGCTGCGAATTCCCATGGTTCATCATTTCCCCTATGAAAATGCAATATCTCAGGGGCTACCCTCAGCAGGTGGTGTTTATTGGATGCTTCAGATTCTTCCAATGTTTCCCATTTTGATTTTTCCTATTTTTTTGATGGTACAGTTGATAAAGTAAATCACAGGTCAATCCATTTTCTGTTCAAACATCACACAGCTGGGGCCAGTCTCAAAATCTGGACCGAGAGTCCGTGGTGGAAAACACCATATTTTCCCGATCAAACACCATGTCAGCCCGTGGGTAGATTTGACATTTTGAGCCATATATCCATTCGTCATTGATTAACGATCCGAAGCGCGATTTAGTGAAACTTCAAGCTGCGATTCAGAAACGAGCTGATTCAAAATGCTGTTTTAAACAAAAGCGAATCCGCTGTTGTTCATTGATCAAATCCCTATTTGTGATGGTTATACCATCTGGTTATTTAACATAGCCATGGAAAATCACCATTTTTAATAGGTAAATCATCTATTTCTATGGGCCATCTATACCATGGCTATGTTAGTCATAACCAGAGGGTATCCATGATATATTCATGGATGAAGTCCCTTTTTTTTTCCTGGTCAAGTCCACCATTTAGGTGGATGGAATCCGTTTAAAAAATCCCATGGATTCGTTGCAGTCCATGATGGATCCATACGGTGAAAAACATCCAATTTCTTGGTCAGGAATGATGGATCCCCAGGCGGATGGAATACGTAGAATCCCTTGGTCAGGAAGAGTTTGAAAGCCGCCATCATCAAACTTCAAGAGGAGAAGACGAGTCTTAGCACCGAGGCCAACTGGATGGCACCGGTTTCGTCGGTGTGGGAAATCCTTGGGAAAAGCATGGAAAACCAATACTGGGGATATAGCTTCATGACCTTCATACATAGTTACATATATGTATGTATATATATATGTATATAATGATCATCAAATGGTGATGGATTAGGAATAGATCGGGACTCTAGTGGGGAAAATGAGGCTTAACTTATATTAACCAGTAGAATGGAATACAAGGTCTTCACTAAGTTGGAAAATCGAAGCTTCAGTAGGATAGGTCGATGGGATCGATGGTGATAATCCAGTGGCATCCCCATTGCGGACAATACCCTCCAGTTGACATCGAAAAAACATGGTCATCCAGCATTGAAATAGATCAGGGAAGTGAATGATTTGAATTGGAAAGGATGGTTGGTCAATTTTTCATTTGGGTATGTTATGATCTGGCGGGTAACAACAGGATTATATCCCATATCCCAAGTATTTCGAATCAGATTCTGATGACCCCAATTGAGACCATGGATTTATCCGGCGACCAAGCTGTCGAGAGGTGAAAATGAATGCAGAACAGGCTGCTCAAAAGGCCAGGGGCTAAGATGGGCAGATTTTGTGATCACTTTTCCCTGGAAAAGTATCAGGGCATCGAATGTGCGTTGTGCATCTATTGAAATCGAATCCCCAAATCATACCCAAAACATGTGTGCCTATGATTGCGTATGTAAAAAAACATGGGTTTGTCTGAAATAGGGTGTCCAAAAATCCATGGTTTACAATCATGTCCCCCTATTCAAATGCCACTAATAGGGCGTATTCCACCATTTTTTGGACCCATATCCTTGACTCATTGGTTAAATCTCTGTCGTTGTTCAAATCCCGTTCTTCACCATTTTTGATGAGGTTTTGGGTCGAAAACCTGACTCCTAAACGTTGAATCCTGTTGAAGCCCAAATTTTCGGAGCGAAAAAACCAAGCCATCGAGGAAGACCAGCATTTTGATTGTTTTGATCAGCTATTTCCTGGTAATTTAACATAGCTATGGAAAATCACCATTTTTAATGGGAAAATCCACTATAAATGGCCACTTTCAATAGCTAGGTTAAATTACCAGAGGCTAAATCATCCATTTTCCAGCCTTTTTGCTTCAGCAGTTCGGCGCCAAGCTCCACCTTTTGCGCTTGAGGCGCAGATGTTGTCCCAGCTGACGGGGAAGGTGAAGCCATTGGGGGAGGATAATTTTTTTGGGAACCGGGAACCCCCACGGAAAACTCCGGAAACCTCGGAAACCTCGGACACCTTAGGTGATATAATAGCAACTATTTGGGTGTGTCTGAAAATATGCGAACAACCAGATGGCCGTTCAAAATGGGAGGTTTTTAAAGCCATGGGATTGTGGGGATTTATAGTTTTTCAGGTATCAAAACTTCCCAAAACACAACTTCTCATTGTTTTTCTTCAACAAGTTTGAGATATCTACCACTCCGTAAGTTTACTGAACCTTCCAGCAACTGCGATTTAGCTCACCGGGCTGCCACGGAAGTTGGGGTGGCAAAACCTGATCGAGGTCTCAGAAAAGGACACGATCATTACCCAGCTGAAAGAGGAGCTGAGCAAGAAGCAGCTTGGAGCAATCCTCATAGCCAGCCGCTGCCAGCCATTTGGGGGTTTCCCAAGTCATGGTGCTACCCCGATGGATGGTTTATGTCATAGAAAATCCTCCATTAAAATGGATGATGAAATGGGGTACCCCTATTTCAGGAAACCTCCATTTTTTTGGGTTGATAAGCCTCAAAGCTATAGGTACATGATAGCCACCCATTATGCCATTTTTTTTTTGGGGAAATATCTTCTGACGACACTTCTGACAAACTGCTATGCCACTATAATTTATCACTAAGGGGTGTTGAGAGAAGCCCTGTTGAGCGTAATCGAATCGTGTGGATTTCAGCAAGAATTCTTGGGAACATGTAGTAACCATACCAGGATTGCTGTCTGTAGACTGGGGATGCTTGGGTAAAACCTGATGAAAAACATGACATATTCACATGTTTCGGAGATGAACCCGCAGCAGTTCGCATTTTGCTTGGCCTTGGTTTGAGTGTTTTCCCTCTGGTAATTCAACGTAGTGAACTGGAAAATCAGCATTTTCAATAGGTAAATCAACATTTTTATCATCTATTTCTATGGGCCACTTTCCATAGGTATGTTAAATAACCAGAGGGTAATTGCTTCATTCATCAAGGAATACACAGCACCTCACCCCAGAACGCATCGATGGATACCCTTTGGTAACCGGCTGGGGCTCTTCATGGCCTAGCCATGGAGGTTTTTTTGGCTGGGAAAATCATCGAACGATTGGTGGATTTGCCAGCAAACCATGTGACTCATTAGAGATGGGATGTTCGCACCAACTTCCAGAATTTGAAGGGAACATTGAAGCCAGACCTCCCATGGTAATCAATAAGAACAAGCATGATTTTCCCACCAAACAAATGAACAAATCATCTACCCTCTGGTAAATTAACATAGCTATGGAAAATCACCATTGTTTATGGGACAATCCACTATAAATGCCCATTTTCCATAGCTATTTTGACATAACCAGAGGGTACCAACGGATTGGTTTTATAGAAAATCAACCACAACCCATGGCTTTCCCCATCGGATCCAGTGAGGAGTTCCGGTGTCGATTTTACCAATGTGAAAACCTCCAAACACGGCAAGATTGCGACAGGGATACCCTCTGGTAAACTAACATAGCTATTGAAAATGACCATTGATAGTGGATTTTCCCATTAACAATGGTGATTTTCCATAGCTATGTTAGTTTACCAGAGGGTAAGTGGTTACAACATGTTACAACTCTTTAGTTTTGGAGATTTCCTAAAATGGGGGTGCCCACTTTTTTTTTTATTAGATGGACCATCCAGCTCTAAATGGATGATTTAGGGCCATCGCCGCGATGAGGAACCCTTCGTGTTCCAATGATGAGGCGAGTCTGAATGCCCAGAGGAGCCAAAGCTGGGAAAGCAATGGGAGAAGCAACAAATGGTTCTTTGACATAGCACTAATACAGGGCTGCAGATGGCTAATCATATGAAATAAGCCAGTTACATTTAAGAGTAAGACGTAATTTATGGGGATATGACGGATATGACGGAGATAGAATAGGGGTAAATGAGATATCAATGGGATATGCAACCAACAAATACGTTTTAAGTAGTTGTCCACTTAAATCGGGAATACCTTGATTTATGGCCACTGAACGGGGAACATGAGTCCAAACCATTGGAAACTTGTGCTTCATGATTAGATACAACTCACCAGCAATCCAATCCAATTGTTTTTTTTTAAATGAATATATACACGGTTGCTCCAACCTATTGCAAGTAAATTATTGCCACAAGTGGGGCAACTTGGCAATTTTACCTCTAAGATTTTCCCAATTTTACCCCCGTTGTATCTGAGCGGTGTTGGGAGCAACCCTGAGTTCAATGAGCGCTGGATATTCATCTCTAATGATCTCCACACCCTCAAAGAACCCCCGCAGGTGAATATGAAACCACCCATTTGAGCCACTGAAAATACCATGCGTTTCTTCGTAAGAATATTTTTCTCTGGGGTTCAACAACTAGCGGTTAATTGGCGGTTCTGAGAGACACCATAATCGAGATACAGCAGGTTGGCGATTGGATTTGTGCTATGATATCTCAAACGAGTGAATCGGGATAAGCTAACAAAGAAATGATCATCAGTGATTATAGGTTGGTTATAAACTGAATACTTGATCCATGTTTAAAGGAAATTAGAATGAATAGAAACGAAAGATGAAACCATCCTAGGTTTGGGTTGGAACATGGCCCCATATTAATTCTTTAAGGCCATAAGCATAGTTGAGATAGCACTCATGAGTCATAATCATAACTACAAGGGCTGTTACTTATAATTCATAGTTGATAACCGATAGCTGGCAACTAATAACCCATACAGGATGGGGCCCCCAAGATAGCGTTCAGTTGCCTCAAAAAGGTGGCTGAATTCTATGGTCGGTAGATATAACATGATATTTCACGAACTAGTATTCATGGGGTTTATAAATCAACTTATGACGGGGGGGGGCACCATCCTGTAGTTGTTACCCTCTGGTTATTTAACATAGCCATGGAAAATCACAATTTTTAATAGGTAAACCCAGGTAAACCATCTATAAATGGGCAATTTTCCGTGGCTATGTTAAATAACCAGAGGGTATATGAATGTTTCATGGGCGTTTTTTTTGGTTGATTGCCTCAGGACTGCCGAGCTCTCAGCGGAAGCTGTGCGACAGCAGAAGGCACGGAGTTCCACCGCACTGTGCGGAACGTGGTTGGAACGCGCCATGGGAATGGCATGGAAAAATAAGCCAACCCAGAATTTATTGTTGTTATTGGGGTATGGTTTATTATTGTTTTACCCACATTATTCACAAATATTAATGATTTATATAGTATTATAGAACAGAATGCTAATACTAATATGGGAATTGGAAATATCATTTTTCGATATTTTATGGCAGATTTCGCGGGATGTATACCCTCTGGTAGTTTAACAGTTAAACAGTGAACTGAAAAATCATGATTTATGAGAGGTAAATCATCTACAAATGGGCAATTTTCCAAAGCTATGTTAAATTACCAGAGGGTATATATATATGTATATGTATATATATATATCTATGTTATATATCTCACTGCACTACATCTAGCCATATAATGGTATTAAATGGTACTAGACCAGCCGGAAGAAGTTTAGATCATGGGATGGAATGGGTTCTATTTTTCCAAATGGAAGATACCCAGCAATAGTTCCATGATTTTCCATGATTTTCCCAGCTAGAAACGTCCATTTAGTTCTGGGATTTCCTAGCCAGCCACGTTTTCCGTCTGTGGCATCAAGACGAAAAATGCTGACGTGTTTGCGGCATCCATAGGTCATTGTTCTTGTTCTCGCCAGCCGGGGACCTGCGATTTTTTGGGACCGAAAGCTAGCACCATCTAGGCCGATTTTGGAACCAACATCGTAAGCTCTGAGTGCCAGATGTTCGAAGCTTCCCAATATTTTAGCGAATTCCTGACGATTACAATGAATTACATAAACCATATTTTATCATTATATATCATTATATATGGTGGTAATTAATGATCTATAAATACCAATTGCTTATATATATATGGTTATATATGGTTATATATTATGAATATAATTATATATGGTCATTAATTATTCATCATTATTATTATATATATATAGTTATAGTTATAGTTATATATATATATTTACACACCAATTGCTCTTTTTATTTGGTGATTTTGGTGGTTGGCTTCCTTGCGGTCTCAGGAGATTGCGAATCTCACGGCGGCCCTTTCAGTGTCTCGGTGGAGATGGGTCAAATGGTCAGTGACGGAGTACACATCACCGTAGCGTATCAACAGGAAAAATGGGCGTATGCATGTGTGTACACACATATCACATATATATATATATGTATAATATAGACACATGCAACATCCTACAATCATATGACATAGTTATTCACAGAGACACACTTAAAACAAACACAACATGGGCACCGTGCTCCATTTCTTTGGTCGCTCCAGTGCTGCGTCGGTGAAGCCGTTGTGACCCAAGGCGATGAAAATCAAATATCAGCTACTTGAAGAGGTCCGGCGAAGTGGAGTTGATTTCGGTCACCACCAGGATGATGAAAACAGGTTCTCCGAAATCAACACACCTGGTATTTCTTACGGAATCTATTTGGTATCTCTTTTTTGAATCCATTTGATATCATTTTTTGGAATCCATTTGATATCCATCTGATTTAACTTGGAATCCAAACATCAGATCCATCAGATGATTTGCAGATTTTTCTAAGCTGTTGATTGGATTTTTGTTGATTTTCCAGCTGATTTTGTTGATTTTCCAACTGATTTTCCAGCTGATTTTGGGGGAAATCGATGTTTCACTGCAGGAGTTTGGAGATCCTTCTCTGCGATTTTTCCTCGCAGCAAAGGCCACGAAGGTCTACCAAGATCCAGGAATTCAAGGCACACAATGGGAGACCTGGGTGTTTGCCCGGTGGTGGCTGGGAAATCCCGAACGAAAAATGGAGGTCTTCATGGGGAAATCATCGAAATGAATCGAAATGTTGCTGGTGGTTGTTGGTGGTACGTTGTGATTGGTAGCGGTAGTGATTCTTGGTGATGGTTAGTGGTTGTTTGCAGCAGTGTGCAGTGGTGATGATGGCGGTCATGATGAAGACGAAGAACCAGCACGGATCATGATTTCTTGAAGCAGTGGAGTTATCTCAACTCTGGTTGCTTCCAAAGTTTGGGATTCTCCCCATCCTCGCAGGTGCTGCCAACAAGACCTTCAAATACGTGCTGCCGCATGTGTCGGAAGCGTTGAAGACTGGGGAAGAAGTCTATTCCGCCATGAACGCTTCAGTCTTAGTATCTTGGACGTCTTGGACTTGATGTTTCGGGACGCCCTGCATGGAATGACGACTGGAGATCCAGTTTTTTCCAACACTTATGGTATATAGTATAGATGGCCTATTGATAGATTACTATACGTATTAATATATAATATGTTTTCCCTCTTGAAAGTGGTGATTTTCATAGCTGTGTTGGTTTGCCAGATGGTATACATTCCCACTATTTCCCATGAAATATCCACATGATATGCTCATTATTGTTGGTTTTATCCCATGTTTTTTTTTACCCAATATATTCTCCCCACAATTTGCTAAACTTCCGGTGCCCCCTATCTTGGGAAGTACCCACAGTTTTTGGTCAAAAAGAGGCGTGCGGCGTGGGGGTTCCCGGCTGAATAGTTTGGGGCTTATCATGATCCAGATCTTGCGGATCGTAAACAGTGGAACGGGGACTCCCGACAGCAGTCACCGCGGCATGTTGAACGAAGATTCGTTTGGGGAATCAAAACCCATCATACCATAGTCATTGGGGGGATGAACCATCCAGACAAATCTCGCATCATTTTGCTGAAGGGCAGATGGGGCCCATTCGGGCTTTTCCAACCTAGTCCCACCAGGTTGGCGTCCGTCACTGACACATTTTGGTTGGCGAAATCAGGCGTATGCCGCCGATGCCCTATGCATTCCCATTAAATCTCAACGCTTGCGGGTTGTACGTTATAATCCAAGAATTTAAGAATTGGTTGAAGGGAGAATTGCAGAAAGCCATGTATTTGGTGAGTTGCGAAGTCCGTGCCTTTCAAGCTTCCATCTCGAACAGAAGCCAGTCCATAGAAATTGAATCCATCATTTTCGTTAACTGTTAAGTCACAGAAGCCAGTCCATAGAAATTGAATCCATCATTTTCGTTAACTGTTAAGTCCTCCTAAATAGATTTCCATTCAATCCCCATCAATATTCTACGTTTTTCAGTAGACATAGAAGTCCATAGAAATCAAGAATAATCAAGATCACCTCCATTTCATGGCAAACTCCTATAGCTTTCCGGTAAAAAACATCCCAAATAGAAATCACTAATGTAACAATGTAATCTAATTTCTGTTGGTTTGACTTAAAAACACATCAAATTCCCAGTTTTTGTGGCTGGTTTGCTGTGAAATCCATCCATTCCCAGACTTCCAGACTTGGTTTCAGGAAGGGATACACAGCCTACTCGGCTCCGAATCTTCGGTGGAACCCTGGTTGCCCTTGGTCTCAGCCTTTCTAGTCTATGGCCGCCTGGATGCGACAGCGAGAGGGACTGAGGGGCTGGCAGATGGGATGAGGCTCCACGAAAATGGGGAGATTTTCCTGATTTGGGTTCGATCTGTTTGGGAAGTTTTGGGTTCGATCTGGGCTAGTTTTTGATGTGGAGATAGAATTTATCAGATGTAACATGATTCTTTAGGTATTTCAGATTTCTGCCAGTTTTTTTGATCATTTTCTTGGTGGTTGAACAGTAGTCCGACTCTCCAGGTAGGTGTTTGTTTCCCATAACTTTGAGGATGGTCGGTCACCCCCCATGACGGTTTAATGTACCTATTGTTGGAATCCCATTCGGGATGACCATACTCTCAAAAAGCAGCTAAACTGCAAAAAACCCATGAAACTTGACCATGGTTTTCTGGTTGGTGGTTTGGAACATGAATGGATTATGACTTTCCATATATTGGGAATGTCATCATCCCAACTGACGAACTCATATTTTTCAGAGGGGTAGGTATACCACCAACCAGTTTTTATTTGAAATCAACACATCTCAAAACGACTTATTTCGTCAAATCTCGTCCCTTCAGCCATGTGCAACCGAGGTATGATCTGCTGCCCTGTAGGCGCGGGCACTACCACAGGGAAGTTGGTTGATGACTCGCTTTCTCCTGACTCATGACTAGGAATCCAATCTATCAGTGGGGTGCCTCATCTCGCAAGATCGTGCTACGTACAAGACATATCAAGACGTCAGGTAGAGCAGTAGACACTCTCCAGATGTTTCAGTGGCTGAACATCTGGAAGGCCCAGCTAAAAAGGGGATGATGCGAAAACTGCCAGGGCATTCAAAATGTGTGTTATGGTGACAAGTTGGATAGCCTCTGGGCTCAGGCTTCCACGTAGCCAGATAGGGAGGTGGCCCCTTTCTAACTGAGCCATGCAGTTTTCCCACGTTCCTCCTCTGCAGATCATCGAGTATGTGACCCCATTGCCTTCGGTTTGCCCCTGCCACTATCGAGTGACTTGGGTTTTGACGTTGACTTGACTGGCCTGATTGGCTCTTCTGAGGTTTTGTTGTCCGGCCCTATGGACGCTTCCCATCTTTTGGTGAAACATCAGTTCCGTGGCATGGGACTGACGTCAGGTCGCTATCCACATGACATGACAAACAGTTACCTCTTGAAGATGTCACCTGAGCCAAGGAGTACATTGACATCCGTTGTTTGGTTGCATGTGTTTGGCCTTGCCACATGTCTTGACGCCTTGACAAATGGTGGAGGCATGGTGCCAACACCTGACTGCAGGAAGCCAAATCCTTATGGCATGGTGTGTGTCGTTGGACTGCTTTGCGGAGGATACTATGTATGGACTCATGTCACTCCCTTTCAGCAATGCCGTGAATTGCCAGTGACTTCAGCCTTTGCCCTAGACTTGAGTCATGAGTGTGTCCTTGCCTACCAGCGCGCTCTTGTGCATCACTTGTAGGTTCTGGCTTGTCAATTTGACTTGGATGATGTTGATTGCTTGCCACCCGAGCTTGTCATTGAGTAGAAAGTTGTGACCGCACAATACAAAAAGCAAAAATACCAGAGCACGGAAAACCTTGAGTTTTACCAGCAGTTAGGTGCCTGCACTTTGTGACTGGCTTTTCCTTGTCTTGATTTGCTTGCAGTTGACGCTTGCTTGTACTTGTTTGCCAAAACTCTCTTGCTTGCCCTCGTGCTTGGGCTTGTTCTTGTTGTGCAGCCTTCCAAGATATGCAATTTTCGAAGCAGCTCTGACAAAATTGCTGTTTCTGTATGCCATTGTCTTTTCACTCGGCAAGGGACAACCAGCGATGTGGTTTGTCAACTGTTTTTCTTAGTGTGGCAGAGGATTCAGGAAAAAAAACGTTTTATTTACGTGTTATAGTTATATTCTTAATTTTACAAATGTTACTTCAATAACGCAGACACACACACATATGTATATATATATATATGCTGTCCCCCCCAAACCTACCATTTTTGCATTTTCACTGGTATTTACGGTGAATTTGCTTATTTTGTTGTCAAACAAGGACACTATATTTTGAATATCTTTTCGATATTTGGACACTTGAATCTGATGATGTTTCAGATGATATGTGTAGATGCGAGGCCATTTTTGCTACTATTTGCAACGTTTTTGAACATTCTATTGTAGTACTGGCAGATGTTTAGAGTTGAGTCATTTCAAACATGGACACGGCGCTTTGGCGAAATGCAAATTTTCCGTTTTACACTGGTGTTTACAGTGTTTTTGTGCGTTTTGGTTACATATGAGAATCTGGAATTTCAGATCCGTTTAATCTTGTGAACATGTCATGTTGATGAGGTATGAAATGATATCTATACAAACCGTGCTAGATTTTTTGCTGGTATTTTCAATATGTTTGGCTATCATGTTCTCAGCTGAGCAGATGGCTCATATTCACATATACACAAAATTGGCTCGGCGTTGAGGCCAAAGACAAATTTTTGGATGTACATTGGTACTATAGCATAGCATGTATGTATGCGTTCTTTGTAACGGGATGCCTTTTTTTTTTGGTCCGACAACCTGCCAGGAGTCGTCCTCACCTATGTCGTGGATTTTGTGGCTCGGTAACCGCTATATCCACTGCTTAAAGTGGTTGTTTGGGACTACATTTTTGAGACACAACCACCAATTTAATGGAAAAAAACATATTGTTCGAAGGAAGGAGGTTGGAAAATTGCAATTTTGCGCATGAAATGCATCAACATTTCCAAACATTCTGCTTCACGAAAGGTAGTTGTTCCTCCGGCTGTTCGAAAATTTCTGAAATTTTGCGTTGAAAGTTCAAGAGGGTTTGCCCTGCACTTTTCTGTCGCGTCAACTCCAAGCCGTTTGAGGTCTGCAGCGTGAAAGAGATTCTGCTGCTTGGCAGTTTGTACTTTCACTCACCAGTTTGTTTGTCCAAAAACATCTAGTTCTTATTCCTGCTTCATGATATGGGTTTGTCTGAAGATGGAGTGCACATCAATTGGAACATCATTGTTTTCCCTACAAAAAATGGGGTATACCATGTTTTCAAACACACCCAGTTTATTGGTTAATTATTGGTTGAACATCTCCCCATCCGTTGGTGGTCACTGAGTTTGATTTGCCAAGTGATGTCGCTGGTTTGATGGCTGCTTAGGTGATTTGGAGGCTGACCAAAATCAGGAAATTACATAATCCAATAGAATATCTGAGAATATGGTGAGGATAATTGAGCCAAACCAACTTCATATCATGAATTCTATGGTTTAATTCACGATTCGGAACCAGAGAATTAAAGAATGTTGCTACTTCCCACCTCAAATTCTGCCTCGTGCAGCCGAATCCAGGTTAGCATGTGGATTCTATTTAGCACCTTGGACGAATGTGTCGAGTTGTTGCTGGGACACTTCAGAATCCCAGCTGTTCCCACTCCGAAAAGGATCATTTGAGACACCATTATACCGTTATATGTATTATGTGTTATGATCGTGTTCTGCATGTATACATACATATGTGTATATATATACACGCATATATACTGCAGATAGAATGTCTCTCCCATTCTCTCTCTCTCTCTCTTTATACATATATATATATATGTATAAATAATATCTATATATGAACAAGTATATATATATATGTATACATACACATAAACAGGTGAGATATTCTCCATCTTTTGAGTGTCCCCAACCACAGTTCGAGGTCTGCGTTAGCATCATGTCCTGCGGCTTCGTGATGACAACGCAACGCGACCCCCTCAAGGAGTTGGCCCAGAACGATCCCTCGGCCGCTAGGATGAGTCCGGTGACCATTAAGGCTTGGTGAATGGAAAAATGTTTGATGTACCCTCTGGTAATCTAACATAAGTATGGAATAAGTATGGAAAATCACCATAGAAATAGTGAATTTTCCAAAGTTATTTTAATTTACCAGAGGGTACCTGATATATATATATATATGTTCCATAAGGAATGATATATACGTATGGTTAATAAGTTATTAATTGAACCAAGAAATACTAAGACTAAGAAATACTAAGGATATCACCGTCAATGGTATGGAATAGAACGGCCAGGCACAGTTATATCAGTCAAAAATGGCCATGGCTCAGACATTTCTACAAAAATCCAAAACAAAAGCGCAGATCTGACCAACAAACATGGATCGTGTAAGATCAAAAACAATACCCTCTGGTAATCTAACATAAGTATGGAACATCACCATAGAAATAGTGAATTTTCCTATGGAACAATGGTGATTTTCCAAAGTTATGTTAATTTACCAGAGGGTACCCTGGCGAATATGGTGTATATGGCTATATTAGCCATGACTAATATGGAACTTGTTTTCCAATGGATTTTTTGTTGGATTAATGTTTGATATACATATGGCTGATAAGTTATTAGTTGAACACCAAGTAGAATGGATATTGGACAAATGATCCAATTAACGATCCAGGTAAATGGACTCTATCGTTGTTGATCAATAACAATTATTAATCATTGTCATTAATCATTGATATGATAATCGTTAATGGTTAGTGGAGTAATCTCTAATCTTAGCCAAGAGATGTTGGTATGTTTATTCTAACAGCATCCAATTGTGTTGGTTACATCATAGGTGCAAAATCACCGATTCTTGTCTGGTGGTGTCAACCCACCCAGGCAAGGATGGAAATTGTTTAAAGACTTTTCAAAGCAGTTCAAACCACCAGGCACCAAATGTGGTCGCATAGCCATGTTTCCCGTTTTTGTTGCTGGATGGATCCGATGTTGATGGTCAAACCTGGCCCATGTTCACTGCTTCAACTTCAACCATGTCTATTTCATGTGCCCGAAAAAAAACATTTCCTCGAACGGGTTGCCATTTGTAATATGTCAACTAGAAAATGACGTTAGAGCATCGCATTTTTCATGGGATTCACATGGATTCCCCCGAACGATTTCTGAGAAAATGATCTACACCTACAGTGGGTTCTCCACATCTATGTAAACGTTTACAGGAGCATAATCATGGATTCACCCCCATCAATATTAATGGCCTAATAACTGACAATGAACCACAACTGTCAATCAATGCAATTAAATGCAATTAATATTAATGGACAAGTGTCGTTAATTAATAACCAAGCCTTAGTACCATCACCCAATTTTTTCCTTGTTTTTTTCACAGCTATCTTGGCTTCAAATAAATGAAGCCTGAGATTATCAGCAGCTGTCAGATTATCTTAGGTAACAGCTATCCTTGTTTCAATAAACAGCTGTTCTTCAAACCCTGAGATCTTGCTGCTTCAACAGCTGGGTTTCGCCGCGATTCTGCTCTTCTATTTGATCATGCTTGGGTGTCTTGGTCTTCGAAAAGCACGGTGGCACGGTGGCAAGGTCATCCAATGATCCCTAGCGACATTGGAGCTATGCCAACTGAGCCAACTGGGGCACCACAGCACCTTGACACATTGTTGATATAGATGTTTGGTATATCCAAGAACTGGATGAAATCGGAGAGCATTGGGTTTTCTCTCTTTGGGCGTCCTTCATTTTTGGTTGAGACCAACACATTTTGTTGGTGAATTTCACATCCCACTCTTGGATGAATTTTCATTCTTGTTGGACCATTCCATTCTTGTCTGTTGGTAAACTCTAAATTTAGGCTTTTAAACTTTCATAGATTCAGCACTTTTTGTTTCTGAATTCTGGATCATTGTTGATCATTTTCCAAATGTTTGTTGGCAAACTCACCATTTTCATGATTATGAGTATATAATATATATATATATATATGTGAGTATATATATATTATATACATGAGTATATATATATATATGTATATTTATATGTCTTTGTATATGTATATATATATATAGACATACATACATAGAATATGACTTCTTTGTTGGGCCCACCGCTTCCCCCAACTCCAAAAGTCGCCGGCTCAGGGTGGTCACTTGCGTCGCCGCATGTGACGATAAGCTTCCCTTCAGCGTCATAATAACGAGGTTCAACCGCCGGGATGTCACCAACTGGGCACAGTCACGATGATGAATATGTCTTCAATGGTATTGTTTATATTTTTTGCAAATAATCTCACATTGTTTATCAATATTTATCAGTGTGATTACTTATGATGACAATGATGAATGGATATTCATGGTATCGAAAAAAATCCAGGGCTTGATTGTCATTTATAATCATTTATAGGGTTTTTGATTAAATCACCAACCAAAATATATAATGGGGTATAATGATCATAGGCGCAAAAGCAAGCTGGGATCCAGGGGTTGTGAAGAATGGGATTTGATAATTAAAACTTGTTAAGCATGGGGATTTAACACAAAACTAGGGATTCCATCAATAAATAATGGATATTAATGGCACATTTCAGTGTGGCGTATTTGACTATCCGCTGGTTAGGAGGGAGCGGTTCACCAAAACATGTGGAGAGCCGCAGAGCTAGGAATTGAGTGTTGAAACTTTCCTAGTGGATTCCAAACGTTTGTTTCTTTTCCATCCCTTTATAGAGAGACACATCCAATTGAGTTCGGTGTCTGGACTCAACGCTCCAAGCAGGTTCCAAACTGCTGGAACCCGCGTTACAAAGGGGTGTGTTTGAAATCGGGGGTAAACCTCGAAAGCCACAGGTTAATCGTTATCGTTTTTTCCCCATTATAATTGGCCTTTTGGGTGCATACCCCATTTCAACACCTACCCATATCATCCGATATCGATCATTCATTATTTGGTTAAACCTTATTTTGACGGTTTAACCATGTTAAATCTCCATTTTTGATGGTTGAATCCACAATTTCCAGCTTATCATCCAGTTACCCTCTGGTAAACTAACATAACTATGGAAAATCACCATGTTCAATGGGAAAATCAACTGTAAATGGCCATTTTCAATAGCTATGTGAGTTTACCAGTTACTAACCATCAAATCAGCTGAACTTCCCATGAAATCGCTGGTTCTACAGCAATATCGCCGGCAGGCTGATTCAGAGACTCGGCTGCCGTGGAAAACAGAGGAAAGCCAGGCTTGACCCAGTAGTAATAGTTATTTTGACCCATTATGGAAGGACAAATGATGAATAGGATTATGAATGGATAGTTATGACAAATTTTCATCCTATTTTCAAGTTATGATTCGCTTTAATTACTCAGTTTTACTTGGTAATTAATGGGTAAATTTATAGGAAAATCATCAATATGTTAGGATTTTATCCTATTTTCACATTCATGTGAATTTTGGTATACTATTTGTCTACAATACAGTACAACTTTTCATGTCAAAGTTCATGGTACCTTATTTCGAAAAACATATCATTCGGCCCAAATGATGTTGTTTTTAGCTGGGTCTTTTTTATTCTGTCGTGGGGATTCCGCAAACATATGATTCCTCATCAAGAATGAAAAGAAAACAAATTGGACGATGGAAATTCAGGTCCCTGTTAAATAATGGTAAAAAAAAACATGGTTTCCTACAGATTCCCCCCTAAACCGCGGACAAGAATGCTTAAGAACATGGGGGAATCCCAGAATCCTATCACATGGGTTTCCGGACTTTCCCATTGAAAATTCTCAATGGCCCCCAGGGAATCTCCATATTTCCAGATAATTCCCATAAAATTCCCCACATCTCCAGAGATTTCTTCCAAGGGCGGCTTTCATGCTGGTCTTTGCCATGAGCTACTACCGCTTGGTGTGGACTCCCACCATGGTGGACGAGCTGCCTCTGGTGGAAGAGATCTTTTCCAGGTGCCATGTGTTGGACGGGATATGGGAAATCTATGGAACATGTCGGGAAAACATGGGGAAAATGGTGGGAAAAGTCGGGGATATACGGTTTCCACTGTGGTGCAGTATGGGACCTTTTTTGTTCCCTTGCAATTTGAGATAGCAATGATGTCGTCTTCTATACCGACATCATTTCTGGACTCCAATTTTAAAGGGCAGGTCACGCGACAACACCAGGGATCACAAAAAGGCAACCGCATTGCCATCTGAACGGATCGATGGGTTTTGATCCATAGCCACCTAAAACACAGGCGAACGAGACCTGCAGCTGGCAGTTATCATTTCAATGAAGCTTTGATTGACTATAATTCTTGATTGCATCCGTCTAGACTATTCAGCAAGTGCTGGTTGTGTATCATATCTGCTGCTTGCTTCCATCTCCTAACATACAACGTGGTTGACCCCAGTTCTAGTTTATAAATTTATAAACCCCGTTGACAAAGTCGATATATGATATATCATATCCATCATATCCATCATATCTATCATATCTATCATATCTATCATAAATCCAATCGTTCACCTACTTACAAACCAACTCAGCTAGCCATGGGACGCCACCTGATTGAGTCGAAGTACCCACAGGAAGGGAACCTCTCGAAACGATAGCTTTATATTGTTTTTAGAGCTGTAGGCTATAAGTGGGCTACTTGGATTTATGGTGGAGATATTGAACTAGCATTTCACTGGGGTAACATATGGTAACATAAAACATCATAAAACAACACACATTTCACTGGGAGATCCCTTCCTGCCAGGGATGGAAAGACTCCAAGCGTCCTGCCGTACATGTTGCTGGGCTGTGGCGCTTTTATGGCTGCGCATGATGCTGGATTCCAGACGATTGAACATGAGATACCCTCTGATAAACTAACATAGCTATGGAAAATCACCATTTTCAATGGGAAAATCCACTACAAATGGCCATTTTCAGTAGCTATGTTAAATTACCAGAGGGTATGATGAGCTTAAACTAACATTTTTTCATTGGAGCCTTTTCTGAAGAGAAGCTCCGCTTGCAGGGTGTGAAGTTGTTCAGTGGGGACTTTGCAGACACAGAAGTGGGGACATTGCAGCGGTACCTTTCCGAAAAGATCTTGCCGCGTTGGGTCAATCACCAAAAAAACAGAAAAAAACAACCAAAAACAAATGTTATCAATGTTTTTTGGTTGACAAAGCACCCTTTTGTTATCTTGCCGCTTTGTCAACCAAAAAACATTGATAACACTGCCCTTTGGGAATCAAACATGGCAATGGAACATGTCCTATTTATAGATGAGCAAAACCCAGAAAAAAATCTCCATTCTGCAGGAGATTTTCCAGCAAGCCATGTCAGACTTCCCAACGGTTGAAGACTTTGGATGACGCCATAGTGGAAACATCCTGAAGAGACTCTGCCCATGCAGGAATGGATAGATGTTCCATAACGTTTACAGTTTGCGAACTGGAAACACACCATGTTTAGGGGTCAATCAACATCAATCAACTATTTCTATGGCCGATTCTCCATTTTGGGACTTTCAAACTTTTGGAAGACTCGAAGACCCCCTGGGAGCCCCTAAGATTACCTCGTCAAGACTTGGGCATGCGCTCCACTCTGCTGTCAGGTTGACCGTGGTCGGCTTCAGTGGCAACTTTGTGTGACTCAACTGGTGTCAGCGGCTGCGGCTACAAACAAATCATGGGGAAAAACCATGGTTTACAGATGTTTACAGTAGATTTTCCTTTAAACACAGTCCAGCTGAAAAGAGTCTTTGAGGTTTAAAGTACACTACTGATCATCATTATGGCGTGTTGCCGTGTTGCTTTTATTGTTTCGGAAAAACACGAATCTGGTCATGTGTTTTTGGGGACCTGTTCTGTATGCGTGGGACTTGGCGGATTAGGCCCGCCCAGCTGTTTGTGGACACGTGTGGCAGACGCTGCCTGTAATCAAACGTGGCTGGGAAATCCCCGAACTCAATGGTGAACCTTCGAAGCCATGGAGCTGTTTTTTGCGGTGTGTCAATCTCCCAGATTCCATGGGGAACTGGGTGAATCTCCAGGTGAATCTCCGGAAAAGTTGATGGGGGATTCAAGGAGTTGCAGGTCCCAATTGAGCTGTACTTGCGGGATTTCTACATCTTCGGGCCGTTTCAGGCCCTAGGTGTGTCTATGGGGGAGATACCAAGATATACCAAGAACATCGTCATTTATAGAATGAGTAAGGAAAATAACGGCAGACCATGGGATATGGGGGTTGTCACAGAAAGCCACGAGGCTGGAGTGGAGAACAAGATCTGCGGAAAAGGTGGAATCTTGTCGGCCATGGATGCCACAGCCAACCATTTTCTGGCCCACATGGATGTGCACAAAAGTGGTACCCTAAACCACCCATGTCCCCTGCAGGAGTAGATCAGTTTAGGGGAAAAAGTCGTGGGAGACATGCTATGCGCACATGGCCATGGACCCATGAAAGTAGATGAAAACATCCAGATTTTTCATGACTGGACACACAGATTTCAGCTGATTTCTGTCGATGACATGTACATTTCTTGCTCTCTCTTTTCGCTGCTCAAATCCTTGTCTGGTTGGTGGTTTGGAACATTTTTTATTTTGAATTTTATTATGTGGGATGTCATCCTTCCCATTGACGAACTCATATTTTTCAGGGGGGGTAGGTCAACCACCAACCAGTTCTTTTTTGCGAATCATGGATTTTTGCTGCTTAGATCCGCATAATTGTTGTGCGCGTAAAAGCTGGATGACATCCACAGGGGGTTAGTAAACCAAGGTGACGGCTCTAGACGAAAACCGAATATCACTCCGCGCATCCGAGGCGGAAGAGGAGAAGGATGGGAAAGGTGCTTAGGGCCTTTTCTGTCAAGGCACCTTTCAGCGAAGTCGTGCATTTTTTTTACAGATCGGACGTGGAAATAGAGGTTCTACGGGTTTATGATATGGGTATATATGAAAATACAACAGATGAAACTTCACACAATTTATTTATTTTGGGATATAGCTGGAATATTGTGAATTAATATATAGGGTATATGTGCCATGGTGAAAGTTTGGATTATATAGATTATATACACAAGAAAGGGGTGGTCGTCGATCCTTACAGATTTGCACAACCATTGTAAAGATTTCCATTATGGTCATCTAACTTATGTATATAAAGTTATTTTTCCCAACTTTACCATTATTTATTGTAGTACGTCCATAGAGAATAAATTCCATCTAACTTTACCATGGCACATATGGTCAGTACTTGGTGCATTTCCAGTTATTTGCGGAAAACATATAAATCAATCATAGACTAATAGGAGTTATGTCCCGAGTCCCAACTTATGTTTTTCTTCTTTATACCCTTTGGTTATTTAACGTAGCTATGGAAATGGTCCATTTATAGATGATAAAAATGATGGTAAAACAATTGTTTGCTCAACATGCGGGGGGGGTTCTGGAGGGGTGAGCTTATATGCATATATATATATATATGTATATATGTATATATGTATATATATATATATGTATATATATGTATATATATATATGTATATATATATATGTATATATATGTATATATATGTATATATATGTATATATATGTATATATATGTATATATATGTATATATATATGTATATATATGTATATATATGTATATATATGTATATATATGTATATATATGTATATATATATGTATATATGTATATATGTATGTATGTATATATGTATATATGTATATATGTTGAACTGGTAACGGGCCTCACAACCAAATCTTCCACCTTGACCACCTGATCAATCGTCCTTGACCACAAGGAAAGATAATGGATTCCCTGTCCAAACTTGTTACACTTCTCGATTTAATGGCAACCCCGGCCAACCACCATCCAACGGCGAACCACGCCCTTTTGCACACACACCGTGACCCCCTGAGTCTTCCTGAGCCTATATGGAAATGCAGCAGCACGGCCAAAGGCTTTAAAGCATGCACATTTGGAGACGGATGTCAGGAAAAACGCACTCGTCAAAATTATTTTTTTTTTGAAAGATGTAAATGCATCATTCTCCCAAGAATGGACAAGTCATCCTTTTTCAAGTGTAGATCGGATAGTTACATCCTGCAATTCATATGGCTATTCTCCAAGAAGCAGCTTTTGAGGATTATTTAAGGAACAACTCACTTTTCAAACGATGATATTTTGGTGCAAGGTCAATTTTTTTTGATTACGATTTCAAAAAACTGCGGCTATTGGGAATCAGTTTTCTCTGGTTGTTTGGAGTGCTGGTGTTCGATCCAAGTCTTTTTGGATCGTTGATGGGCACGTGCTTTGAGGATCTCATCCACGTCATGGATTATGCATTGACCCTTTTCAAGAAACTTCCGGAGGTTGGTGCAGTCCATGTTTTTGGTTAAACAATCAGCCATCTGTGCAGCTGAATGGACCCATTTCACCACAATTCCTTCTTTGATTCGGTCCTTGATGATTAAAGCTTCCAACATGACCCGATGTTCTTGGCATTGAGGTACATTGGTCTTTTGGATCAAGTCATATAAACTCTTACAATCAACAACCGCGTATGCTTCAGGAGATTGGGCCAAATATTTCTCCGGATTCTTCCATTCATCTGATGGTTTCAGAAGCCAAAAGACCGACCGATCCGCTCAGTGCATAGGTTTCGGATGCTAAAGTGCTTCCAACCACTCTGGCAATTTTTCTGGAATACCACAAAAGTGGATTGATCTCACTAGACTGCCATTCACCGATGTGTTTGGATGAGGCTAAAATTAAACATCCCTTTTGCGACTGCGAATTGGCACGATTGGCAAAAGAAGCATCAGAAAAGGACACAAACCTGACATCATGTATGGGAATACTTTTGATGGTGATCTTTGTATGTTTATGGAGTTTCGCTTCTTGAAGTAAACAGTTGGCATCCCCAAGGTCTTTGACTGTGGCGCTGTTGATCTTGGCTTGTAACAAACTGAGTTTGGCGGATAAATCTGGTCGAGTATTGGTTGCTGCGTATTGCACACTGCCAATGAGGCCTCTCAAAGCCTGTCGTTCGGTTTCTGTCACCTTAGCATCAGGTTCTTGTCTGCGTTTGCGATCTATGTCAATCGCAGGGATGTCTTCTACATATTGCGTCTGATCAAGTTCTATGGAACCATCCCATTTCTGTGACAAATGGATCCCCGTGAAGACAAAATCGGTTTCCTTTTTACTTCCAAAGGGATACTTGCGTTCCAGTTGAGCAATGGCACTTTCAAACACTTCATCACCGGCCCCTAAACCATCATCCACATGAACCCCAACAATTCCATGTATACCACTTCCATCCTTTTTGGGAGTACAAAGGTGCATGGATCAAGAGGGGACATTTTGAATTGGAGATTGAGTAAGGCATTCTTGAGTTCTTCATACCATAAAAGTGGAGCATTCACTAAGCCATAGGCGCTTTTAAGGAGTTCGCAACATTCCCAAGGTTGGAGGTTCATTAACGATCTCATTTCCTTTGGGGGTTCCATGCCCAAAATTCGACCATCTTGTCGACTTCCTCTAAGGAAGGCGGTTTGGATGTCGAAGGAACGGATCTTCCACTTTGCGGAGGCAGCAAATTGTAAAATCAACGTTCGAGAGTCTTTTCCCATAGTTGGAGAATCTCTGGCAAGGGCTTCCAACTGAGGATCTTCATATCCCAAAATAACCAAACGAGCCTTGGCTTTTGGTTGTGGATTGGGGTCTTGAGTCGTAGGGTCCACAGGCTTCCAAGTCAACACCCAACGGGATCGGAGAATCTGCTCTTCTGGAATTTGATTACGGGCTATTCTCCTGACCGTTTCAGTGGATAACCATGATTGGATCTCTTTATTCTTGGCTCCTTGAAAGAGTTTCATTTCTGATGGAGAAAGGTCTCTCTCCTTGATCTCAGCTCGTTGGCGTTTCGCTGCGGATGCTAAAAAGGCGATCTGCTCTGGCACGTTTTGCCGCATGCAGGCTTCAAGCTCTTCCACATTAAGGGCAATCTCCATCTCTTGTCCCGCAGTGACCATCTCGGTGCATGTATTGGCTATTTGAAGTTCAGGTATTTGTTTTTCATATTGGGATTTGATGTGAAAAATGGTTTGTCCAGTCCATAGATTGGGAAGGCTTTGGTGGGCTTGGATGTTTCCATACCATTGATCTTGAATTTTCCATGAACCCCCATGTACAGCTTCCACTTGTGTGATTCGGTGATTGTCAAGCCATTCGGGATTTATGGGACATCCCTCTACTAGCATAGGATTAAACAATCGATATCGTGGATTTCGATGACGTCTAATCAACTGATGCTTGTGGATTATCCAATCATCTTGACATGACATTAAGGCATCGGCACCATCGGCGTCAGAGTCGGGAACAGGTATTTCCCACGGCTGCGGGCTGCTACCGTCCTCTGGCATCATTTGGCCTTGGCTAGTTTGACTTGCAGCCGGCTCGGAGTCTGGTTGAATATCTTCAGTGTCTCGTTCTTCATTCGAACCAGATTCGGCAACTGCTGGTTGAGGCTCTATGGTATCAGGCATGTTAAGTTGAGGGTTTTGTGGTCCATTGGCTTGATTATGACTGATGACTTCAGGTGAAGGGTTATTGTTATCGGGGTCATTAATACTTGGGTTGTGTTGTGAAGTGAGGTCTTGGTATTGAAACACACCAGATCCAAGTCTCTGAGACCCTGCTGTCGGGAACCCTTGGTCCGAGTTCGGCAGGTTGGCTGGATCAGCTTCACGGCTGGATAGCGACCTAAGATGTTCAGGCGCGCATCGATAAAGTCGGCTTAAGTGCGACAGCCAGACCACATTGGGGTCTTCCCGCATCAGAACTCTGGCGGGACCATGCCATGATCCCGGGAGACTGCCTTTGCCATCCCTCCAGTACATAACCCACTGTCCAATTTCGAAAGTGTTTCGGGCTGGTCGGGTTCTTTGCAAGAAGGCTCTGCGTAATTTCAAGTCATGGTCAGATTTCACAAAAGCAACTCTGGCATTTTCTCGCAAGCTCAAGTTCTTTTGGAACTGGGTGATTTCACTTGATGTTTCCAGCTCTTCCTGCAAATAGTCTGACGGCCCAAAATCGTCATTGGATACAGAGGCAGGTTGATGGCGGGATTTTCCCAGCACAAGAATCTCCGGACTATAGCCTCGGCATCTGGAAAGACTATTCTTGGCGGCCGTGCATTGGCATAAGGCTTGTTCAAGTTCTTCTCTGCAGGTTATGGGATGGTTGACTTGTAGTTTATTCAGCATGTCTTGAAGTATGGCTCCATGTCGCTCACACTTGCCGAGTTGCCAATGGGCTTCGGTTGGAACTACGGTGCTCTGAATGTCAAAAGACTGCAGAAACTTGGCAAACTCTTCACTACAAAACTCCCCCGCACTGTCGGACATCAGCTGCTTTGGAGGTCCAGCCCAGCTAAACCAGTATGTCTGCATTTGACTTGCTACTTCCTTGGATGTTCTGGATTCGCAGGTGAAGGCTACTTGGAAATTGGTGCCAGAATCGATCATGTGGTAAAACGTGTAACCTGCCCCCTGGGCTGATGTCCATGTGACTGCATCAATGGAGACGAGATCATTGAAGGCTCGGGGCAGTGTCAAGTGGCTTGGTCTGGCAATTTTTGGGCGTTGTTGTTCAAAACATGAAGGACAGTGAAAATCTTTGACGCCCTCGATTGCTTCACTTGGCCACCCTTGATCTCGTAGCACGTTCCCAAGGATTTGGGCATCAGGATGGCCCAGGTTATGGTGCATTCGTGCAAGTTGCTGTCTTTGTTGGACATCAAGTTTTCGGAACTTGGGGCCATGGTCAGCTCCCGGCAGGCTTT